GTTGTAGGAAAAACATTCTTTATGGCCTTATCTGCCTACGCACCCATTGTTAATAACTTGGGTGTCTCTGTCTCAAGGTTCCTCTGCTCCTCACCCCACATTTACGATCCATTTAAGGACTTCCATAATTTCCTTTTCCTGTTTTCACATCTAAAATTGTGCTGCCGCTTTTTTTCTATGCTCAACACTGTAAAATAAAAGGCTGCCCAGCCTGTGATAATATTACAAGGTCAATTTATAAAACTCTCAGCAATAAAGAAGACAGGAGTTTGATCTTAATGGGAAACTGCGGGTTCACGTCCACAATAATTGAAGTCTCAAATGTGTCTGTATTTTGCTCTCTAAGGAACCTTTCAGACTGACTCCCCTGGGCTTAATACAGTCAAAGTAAAGTACCTGCCTTCAGTCTCCACAATTACAGTCTTATTATTATTATGATTATTAAATCAATTTCATAAACAATAGACCTGCAAGAAAATCATTCAATAAAACCAAGAAGAACATTGTCCCCCCTCTCGCCCCATCATAAACAGTGAGGCTCAGATTAAATGGCATAATCGGAATCATAGCAGCAGGAAACATGAACAATCCATAATCTTATTGAGTAACAAATAACTATATATTTCACACGTCCTCAATTCAATATAACGGAAGTAAATTTTTAAAAATCCTTACATTTGATATAATCCGTTTCACCCCTGGAGTATGTCTCAAGGTCTGTCAGGGGATATATATATATACAGTACTGTAACATGTGTACTTTGTAGGTGAACACGTCAGCCAAAATGTGCACAACAATGTTGGGGATTATTGGCCAAGACACTGGAAAAAACTCCCTTCTCTTTTTGGATAGTGTCATGGGATCTTTAACATCCACCTGAACAGGCAGACAGGACCTTGGTTTAACGTCTCATCTGAAAGACGGCACCTCCAACAATCCAGCACGCTCCCAGCACGGCATTGTATTGTCAGCGTCGATTATGTGATTCAAAATCCCGACGTGGGGCTTGAACCCACAACCTTGTGACTCAGAGGCGAGAGAGTGCTACCCTAACACACCAATTCCCAACCAACAACTCCTACTGGCAAACAGATTTTGGTACAGGTGAGGGCAGAGTGCCATCTAGTACCTGCTGGCTGTTACAATTAACACACACGGTTTGGGTCTATGAGCCAAGCCCGCTCTCTTAACAAATAATTGTAGCAGAAATTCTCGATCGAACCCAAAACGATTAACCTTCAGGAGGAAAGGAGGAAAGAGCAGGAAAACTGGGTAATTGGTGAGCAGCAAAACGGATGGTTCAAAAGTGCAAAATCCAATTTTGTCCCATCTTCAGCTTTTGACATTGATGTAAATATTCACAGTTCAGTCCTGCCGCTGATTACCATACTGCTACCCAGGCATCGATCCATGGAAATCCATTTAAGGGCCAAACATCACAACAACCAATTGCATTTACATGGCGCTCTTCATGTCAGGAGGACGCCCACACCTTAACAAATTGACTGGGAGAGGGGCAGAGGCTGGTGGAGGGAGCGAGGAAAGGGAGTGAGGCTGTGAGAGGCAGGAGATGGGGCGGGAGCTGATGGACAGAGGCTGATACAGATGAACCTAGCCTACCAGGGTCAGAACTTGGTAGATAGGAACATAGGATAGATAGGGAGACAGACAAGGCTGGAGGACTAGCACAAGGACTTTGTCTAATAGGGAGACAGACAGACAAGACAGGCAATAGACTAGTGAACAAGCACATGTCTGACAGGCAAGATAGACTTGTGGACAAGGGAGATGGACAAAGACATAGATAAACTGAAAAGCAGGGACTGGGTCAAACATAGGTGGGTAGAGACAAAGTAAATCGATTAAGACTGAATGACTGGATGAGAAAAAGGAGGGAGAGGATAGGGGCAGACATCCAGACTGGGGAATGACCAGGGGCAGAGTTGACTTAAGGACAGGAACAATGAACAAGAAATAGATTGGTGGGAACACTTACCAACAGAGAGAGAGGGGTAGAGAGAGAGAGCAGACAGAGGTGTGAGATACACTGAGTAAATGATAGAGAGACAGGCAATGGGAACAGTGACAGAGAGGGAGTGAGAGAGAGAGAGAGAGAGAGAGCTGACAAGCAGGGGATAGAGATACAGAACAGTGAACAAATGATAGAAACAGGCAATGGCATGTGTGCATTCAAGGGCGGATCCAGAGACAGAGAGACAGAGGCAGGGAGTGAGGACAGTGAACCAGGACTCTGTGTGTGTGTGTCTCTCTGTCTGTGTCTGTGAGTGTGATGTGATGTGAGAGGAGATGAAGAGCAAAGTCAAACCCAAATCAAATCATGACAGATCGTTGCGTTGAGTTGGATGGGTGAAGAGGATCGAGCTGACTGCTGGGGAAAGCCTGGCACCTCCACCAAACCGACCAAACCAACCAAACCAACCAACTCGACCCTCCAAAAATTCAGGGGAAGGTTAATGAGCAGCAATAACACAGTGCAAGTGCAGCAGCTGCAGTGTTGCTGGGGGCCAGCACCCAGCATCTCAGCATCTCAGCATCTCAGAGCAGCTCAGCATCTCAGAGCAGCTCAGCATCTCAGAGCAGCTCAGCATCTCAGAGCAGCTCAGCCTGTCCCCAGGTACCAGCAGCAGAGCATCAGCCACACACTGACTGCAGCACCAGCTCAGGTAACAAGACTGCATGCAATAGGTTTGACATTACATGTTTTTTTTTTAACCATCAGTTCCTCCATAACTTTTGTTTCTCTATCTTCCCGTCTCACTCTCTCTCTCTCTCTCTCTCTTTCTCTTTCTTCTGCCTGCTTTTTATTTCACCTTTTGCAATGATTTATTTCTCTTTTCCCCATGACATTTATTGAGCATAAAACTCTCTCTCTTTCTTTCTCTCTCTCTCTCTTTCTTCTGCCTGCTTCTTATTTTTAAATGTATTTTAGATTTTCCAATGCACTGATTTCTTGCCCTTTCCCCTTGTCATTCACAGAGTCAAAAACTCTCTGTCCCTCTACCTCTCTCCCCTGCCTGCTTCTTATTTTACATTTTGCAATGATTTATTCCTCTATCTATTCCCCTAACATTCGTTGAGGGTAAAACTCTCTCTCTATCTCTCTCTCTCTCTTCTGCCTGTTTTTTTTTGCGATTTGTCTGTGTATCTATGATGGTAGACAATGAATGGATTGTTAATGTTAATGGTTCCTATTTTGATGGCTTTGAGGGAGGGAGAGAAGGAATGGGGGGGGGGGAAAGGTACTGATAAAGCCTTAACATATCCCAGTTTGTCATTTTGTTGTTGTTCTTGTTATATTTGTTTGGCTGCAAAGCTCCACAGAGCTGTTCCCCAGCCTCGCCAGCTTTATGCGTTGTGTGTGTTGGAGATGTGAAACCGATGTTATCGAGCGGCAAAATTTTCATCCTCAAAATACCCAGTCAATTCACTTTACAGTATATTCTGTGAAGCGCTTCGAGACGTCTCAGCGACGCGATAAGGCGCCATATTAAATGCAAGGATTATTATTGTTATAAAAAGAGAGAGATAGTCGGTCTGGCTCTTCTGCGGAGCATCGATCTGAGTTAGAAATAACGTGCAATTGTGCGCAAATGAGCAAAAGTTCGTTACCCGATCTCTCTCCCCCTTCAAAAAAAAAGCAAAAAGGCACTTCACGAAAAAGCAAATACCGAAAGGTTGTGTTATTCCCCTCCCCTATCCTGCCTGCTTGCAGTGGGTCCCCTTTTCTCATCTAAACCGTTGGACTTTTTTGTTTTTTTTTGCAATCCTTATAATAATAATCCTTGCTTTTGATATAGCGCCTTATCACGTTGATGAGACGTCTCAAAGAATATACTGTGAAGTGGATTGACTGTATTTTGTGGGGGAACTGCTCTCTCTCTCTCTCACACACACACACACACCCATACACACTAACACACACACAACACACCTCCTCGATCCAGCCCAAGGTGGGCTGAGGCTGACACACTTGCCACTTACACATGGAGCCTGACCCGGGTATTTACTTGGTTTCCCCCACCTCCCTCAATGTGTGCGTGCGTTTTTTTTAAAGCAAAGTTTTTAACTCCTGCCTCCATCCACTGCATCCACGAAGATGAGTGAGGAGAGGAGAACCTTTTTGGCTTGGCTTTTTCCCACTTTTTGGACCTTTTGGAAATCTCACGAGGGAGGAAGGATCGAAAGGGGGAACCCACCTGTGTTTGTCTCTTGTCCCTGGTTTCAGTTTATCTATGGTTTAAAATAAAAGCAATTTGATATGGTAGCTACAAAGAAATCATTTCCTCTGGTAGGGAATCCAGAACAAGGGGCATCATCTTAAAATTATAGCTCGGCCATTTACAGTGAAAAGAAGCATTTTTTCATACAAATGGTAGTGGAAATCTGGAACTCTCTCCCCCAAAAGACCGTGGATGCTGGATCCATTCAAATTTTTAAGAGTGATGTGGATAGATTTTTAAAGATATCAATGGATATGGGACAAAGGGGGGAATTGGAGTTGAGTTACAGATCAGCCATGATCCAATAGACTGGCTGAAGAGGCTTGAGGAGTTGAATGGGCTACTCCTGTTCCTATGGCTTTGTTCATCTTTGTCCATCGTACAGTCTAAGCGCTTGTCCACTAGTCGCTCTGTCCTGTCTTGTCTGTCAAGCGCTCTGGGGCGCTAGCCTGTGTGAGGGGCGCTATATAAATGCAACTTCTTGTTGTTGTGTGTCTGTCTCCCTATCTTCCAATTTCCGACCCTCATAGGCTAGACTAGACCGAGTATTGTAATTATTGTTTCTTTTCCTTCCTTTTTTTGAAACAAAATCTTATTGTGTCTTTTCTCCCCCTCTCTCCTCATCTCCCACTCCCCACCTCCAGCGAGACAATTGTCCTTGACCTCAATCCCTGGTTTCCTCTCACCTTCTCTCCTTCCCTCTCTCTCTCTCACTCCTTCTATCCCTTTTGACTCCCAAAGCTAGGAGAAGGTGAAGGATGACGGCTCATCTGGTCCTGGAGGAGGGGCAAGCAGAGGAGGGGGAAGCGGGGGGTCAGGAGGAGAAGGAGGAGGAGGAGATGATGGTGGGAGGTGAGGTGGGCGACTGCGAGATCAGTGTCAACGTGGGCGGCCTGAAGAGGAAGCTAGGTCGCCACCTGCTGGCCAGATACCCCGAGACCAGGCTGGCCAGGCTCCTGAGCTGCCGTTCCACAAAGTCCGTCCTGGATCTCTGTGACGATTACGACGCATCCAAGAGGGAGTTTTACTTCGACAGGAACCCCGCTCTCTTCCCATACGTGCTGAACTTCTACCACACGGGCCGTCTCCATGTCATGGGCGAGCTGTGCGTCTTCTCCTTCAGCCAGGAGATCGAGTACTGGGGCATCAACGATCTCTTCATCGACTCGTGCTGCGGCTCAGCTTACCGCGGGCGCAAAGCGGGTCAGGGGGCTTCCGGGATGGGGGACGGGGATATGGATGACTGCGACGACACGGTCAGCGAGCAGGGCAGCAACACGTCTTCCCTGGATGAGCTTCTTGCCTTCTACAGAGATGCCTCCAAGTACGAGGAGCGCTTCCTGGGGGGTTGCAGGAGGCAGATCTGGCTGATGCTGGAGAACCCGGGCTATAACGTGGCCAGTCGTGTGTACAGCGCTCTGTCCATCCTGGGCGTGGTGGGCTCCATCGCCAACGTGTGCCTCAACAGCATGCCCGAGTTCCAGCTGGCGAAGGGCGAGGCCCGTGGGGGGGATGACCCCCGCTTCGAGATAGTCGAGCACTTCTGCATCGCCTGGTTCACCCTCGAGCTCCTGGTCAGGCTATGGGTGTCTCCCGGCTTCCTGAGCTTCTTCCGCCTCCCACTGAACCTCATCGACCTGTTGTCCATCTCGCCTTTCTATCTGACGCTGCTGGTCAAGATGGCTGTGGAGAACACCCCAGCACTCACCAACCTGGGCAGGGCGGTCCAGGTGCTGAGGCTGATGAGGATCTTCCGGGTTCTGAAGCTGGCCCGACACTCAACGGGGCTGAGGTCTCTGGGAGCCACACTGAAGCACAGCTACAGGGAGGTGGGCCTGCTCCTGCTCTACCTCTCGGTGGGAGTGTCTGTCTTCTCTGCCCTGGCCTACACGGTGGAGAAGGAGGAGAACCCCGGCTTGTCCACCATCCCCACCTCGTGGTGGTGGGCCACGGTCAGCATGACCACGGTGGGCTACGGAGATGTGGTGCCTGCCAGCGTGGGTGGCAAGCTGACTGCCTCCGCCTGTATCCTGGCGGGCATCTTGGTGGTGGTGCTGCCCATCACCCTCATCTTCAACAAGTTCTCACACTTCTACCGGCGTCAGAGGAAGCTGGAGGACGCTGTGCGGAGCTGCCAGTTTGAGCAGGGCCTGACCGCAGTCCCCGTGCTCAATCTGCGCGATTACTACGCGGACAGGATGAAGTCACTCATGGCCAGTCTCAGCGACGTGAGCAGAGGAGCGTCCAGCGACAGCGGTGATGACTCCTTACAGTGACGGAGGGAGGAGGGGGAGCCTGAACGTGTTTATTATACCCGAAACACGTGCGCACACTATTTATTATACACGCCACAGATGTACACTGATTATTCAGCACTCTGCAGCTTGTGTCCTCTCCCGCACCGACCTCCGTGACTCTATCACCGCCCCACCCTCGCCTGGCTCCGCTGGCTCCTCCTCATCCCCCAGAGGATAGAGTTCAAAACCCATAGCCAGCTCTATGCCACCCGCCCGACCCACCCCACCATCAGTGGTCGGGCGTTCAGCCTTTCTGCCCCCACCCTTTGTAACCCCATCCCACAGTTCCTTCGCCTCGCCCCCTCGCCTCCTTCAAGATCCGTTTCAAGATCTTCCTTTTTGATCACACCATTGGTCACCCTCCTACCCTAATCCTCTCTGCCCTCCATGCCTCCTGATCCCAAAACCTCAGCTCGGGTGCAAATCCTTGGCTGTTCAGCGCCTTGGGATGTCCTTACAACAATTCCTAATGCTGGCAGTACAGCACTGGAGAAGCTTGTTGGATTAATGGCTGTATTTCTGTCTCTGATTGAATGTATGTGTTTTAGTATATTATTGTTCTTGCTCAGTTTGTCGCTGAACTTAAGACAGGGCAAATTTGGCCCAAGGGACACAATGGCTCATTCGGGGACTGTCCTCTTAAAACGAGGAACCTACAGTCAAGGTCATCCTAGTTATAAGTGCTGTTAAATACAGCTCGACAACGTACACAGTGCCAGAACTCCTAAACAACAACAACTTGCATTTATATAGCTCCCTCCACGCAGGGTAGCATCTCAGAGCGCTTAACAGTGGTGGAGCCTGACTCCGAGCCGGGGTGGGGGAGGTGACCGTAAGCACGGTCGAAAAGGAAGATTTTCAGACGGGACTTGAAAAAGAGGAGAGAGGGGCAAGGCGCAGGGATTGAGGGAGAATGTTCCACAGTTTGGGGGCATTGTGGTTGAAAGTGCAACCTCCAATGGTGGAGCGGAGGGTGCGAGGGACGAGCAGGAGGCCGGTGCCAGTCGAGTGGAGACACCGGGTGGTGGATTGGGGAGGTCGGAGAGGTAGGGAGGTGCCAGGAAAGTGAATGGATTTGAACATGATCACATGCATAGCACATATCCATGACTGAACGCAGATTGCGTAAAGATACCCACAGAGTGTGTGTAAAAGAACCAGTAACCATTAACTTTTTAATCATTTAATGCAATGGTAGCCACAATAACCAACATCCTCGGTAATAGCTACCACATCTGCTGAACCAAGCAAATATAGCACTCAATCTAGTAACCAGTTAATATACAGGATTTACAGTATAACCAACCTGAACAGCTTAGTTTTTGTGTCCATGAATATACACACGTTACTAAGTAACTGCAGCCTGACCATTCAGTACAGTGAGTTTAGAACATAACATTAGAATTTGCTCGGTGAAAGAAGACCAAAGTCCATCCAGTTCACCTTCCGCCATCCTGGCAGTCGCATGCACATCATGTCCCAAACTATGCACTTATCCCGAGATATTGTTTCCCAGCAGAAATCAATCTAATTTATTCTTGAAATAATCTTGAGAGAATTTGTGGTTATTTAGGACATACAATGATCACAGTGTGAATCATTCCAGTTAATATGGGGATTGAAGAAGATGACGACCGCCGTTATAGGAGAGAATTGTTGCTACTGATAAGTGATCCAATCTAGTGTACCTGGTAATATCAAAGAGCCCAAGAACAAACTCAGAATATTAATGTCGGAAGCCCTAGATTAAATCAGCATCTTGAATTTTTTTGCATGTGATTACTATTTACTGTCCGTTTTTTGAAGGTAGTTCTATTCAGCATCAGATTCTATTCTATTCTTTTGCGTTGGTCGTGGCTGTCAAGATGTTGCACAACATTGATGCATAATGAACCCATTTCTAAAAGTTAAGCCAGAAAGCAAAATTGTGGGTGATTACCTGGGTATTTTATAGGCAACATATATAACAATAACGACTAATATACTGCCCCACACCACTTTACTCCCACCCTCGCTCACCTCCACTGGCTCCCCAACCCCCAGAGGATCAAATTCAAGATCCTCATCCTCACCTACAAGGCCATTCACGGCCTTGCTCCCTCCTACCTCTCTGACCTACTATCCCCCTACCTACCTGCCCGTACCCTCCGTTCCTCCGGCTCCGGTCTGCTCCACATCCCCCGCCCCAACCATCCTACCATCGGTGGCCGGGCCTTCAGCCTCTCAGCCCCGAGGTTCTGGAACTCTATCCCCCAGTGCCTTCGCCGCCTCCTCCCTTTCCTCCTTCAAGGCCAGTCTCAAGACCTTTCTCTTTGTCCGTGCCTTCAGCTCCCCTCTCGACTCTCTACCCCCTCCTCTCTCCCTCCCTTCCCTCTCCTCACCCTGACCATTTCCCCCCTGCTCGGGTCCTGACTCAACTGTACAGCGCCTTGGGACGTCCTCCTGACATGAAAGGCGCTCTATAAATGGAATCTTGTTGTTGTTGTTGTAGCGTCCGAGAGTGCTATATCCTACTTGGCAACCAAAGTTTTGTTGATGCACCTCCACCTAAGTAAATGAATACAGTGAATATACCACATGTAAAGTAAGACTTAATCTTCAGCCACATAAGTTAAATCTCAACTTGTTCAAGGAAATGTTCAAAACACATCAACCGGTGAACAAAATAACGCATATGTGGAACAGTAAAAAGGAAACACATCCATGAACTCCTTGATGGAGTGATGGAGGAGATGGTAGGCACGGTCAGAGAGGGAAGTCTTCAGGCATGATCTGAAGGTGGGGAAGGGAGGGACAAGGGTGAAGGGATAGAGGAAGAGTGTTCCAGAGTTTCAGCGCATAGTGGTTGAAAGCCCGACCATCGATGGTGGATTGGAGGGCATGAGGGACACGCAGGAGGCCGGAGCCAATTGAGTGGAGCCAGCGGGTTGTGGTTGGAGGGTAAGCAGCTCGGAAAGGTAGGGAGGTACTTGGGTATGCAGCGATTTGAAGACGAGTGCGAGGATCTTGAAATCAATAGGGGAGACGACTGGGTAAATAGGTGACTGGGAACAAAAGTTAAAATGTCACAATAACTATGGAGAAAAAGTAATCATATAACACTGACCAGGAAAATGTCAATATGCGATCAAGTTTGGATCAGTGCGATGAATGACCTGAAGTTTCAACCTGTTTTATCAGTCGCACAGTTGCATTTTCCTTCAGGAGATTTGACTAAGTGACTGTATATAGCGCATGACCGCAGCATGGTTGCTGTAATGTCTATCCTGTCCTGTGCTTTTTGTTCATTCGGGGGCTACTATTGGAGTACTGTACCTCCGTGCCAATCCTGGCTACTAGCAGGCACATGACAGCTGCTGTCACTTGCACTTTGTGTGCATGTGTGTATGTATCTGGGTGTTTCATCCTTGCTAAATACCTTGGGGAACAGTTTATAATAATAATAATCGTTGCATTTGATATAGCGTCTTATCACATCATTGAATTCAGAGCAACCTTATCTGCAGACAGGTGGGCACACAATGTTGAATCCTGTAACGTATTGGTTAGAACGCTTGCCTCGCAAATGAGAGGACCCAGATTCAATTCTCAGGCAGGGCAAAACTTTAGGCAGGTTTCCTAACTCCACACGCCTCTGGTTACCTAGCAGTGAGTAGGAAACTGGGTGTTAGTCGATTGGTGGATCACTTTCCTGGGGTAAAAATCTCTACAACAAAAACAATAATTTGGTCACTCAATCCATGACTGTAGGACATTACTGTGCGCAGTTGGCTGCCATGTTTCCCCCACAAAATATACAATCAATTCATCTTACAAAATATTCTGTGAAGCGCTTTGAGACAGCTCAACAACTTGATAAGGCACTATATCAAATGCAAGGAAAAATATGGGAACAAGAGAGAGAGAAAATAGTCGCTTCTGAATTAGATTCCTGGAATTTCCCATTTATTTTCCTAAGAGATGAAGGACCCAGATTTTCTTTTTGGTCAGCCGGGTGTCTGACATATGCAGAAACCCATCACCATGCTTAAGACTATCCAAACCAAGCTGAGAATTCCCTGCCTCCCACCTACACATGGAAATCCCAGAGATAGATTGTTGGGATGGAATACGCTCGCTCTCCCTGGAGGGACACATCCTGCTTACCTATTTCCGGAAAATATTAGGTGCAGGTTGGCAAGAGCCAAGGTTTGGGGACTGCAGAGTGTGCGTTGGGGTAACTACTGAAGTCTAAGCAGCTAAAACCGCATAGCTTGCTATTGATATCACTGTCTGACAAGCTTTCTCGCTGCTTGTCCATCTAGGACCAGCCTAAAAATTAAGGCGTTGGCTTGCAGGGTTAACAGGAGCTGAGAGGGAGGAATCCCTCACCCCAGTGACTGGACAACCAGAACAACTTTTTCTTGGTCAATCGATGTGACCACCAAGACAGCTCAGTAAATGCTCACTTACCACTAGGAAGTTAATGCATGTGGTTTTATTTTATTAAAGGAATTGTATGCTTGCTGTTAAAGGTCCATTCTTACAAGTATTTTTTTCTGTACTTATTAATTGCATTAAATCAATAACTGTTGTCTTTCACATACTGTATATATCTCTAAGTGACCACGTTAAACAAATGCAAATTGCATGCTGACTCTGGAAGTTTAAATAGCATGCGCTGCCTGAAAGTGCATTATTACTGTAAGTGTTGTTATAAATCTGCTCTGCTGCTAACTTTAACTCAAAACGGTTTCAAAGTGTTGGCCGAGGAATGAATGCAATGAAAATATAGAGGAGAAAACAAATCTGGTCTTCCATAGAAATCTGAATAAAGAATGTAAGGACCAACTACTGACCTGTGTCTCTTTTGGCATATATTATGCTTTTAATTCATTCCTGTGCTACCGGATTTTTTATTCAAAAAAAAGTCTCAACTGGATGGAAAGAATGGAAGTAAATCATTTTTATTTTGCATTTTTTAATATAACAGGAATATTTTTACTGATGAGTGAACATGCCTGAAAAACAGCATGTTGTACAGTGAATTCATTTTATTAGCAACAACACTGCATTTATATAACACCCTTCACCCAGGGCAGAGCCTGAACCTGAGCCG